CCCCCCCCGCCCCAGCCCAAGACAAGCAGAGATTTCCCTTTTCTGGACATTTCATGTAAATGCAACCATACAATATGTGGACTTTTGTGTCTGGCCCCTTTCACTGAGCATAATGTTTTCTAGGCTCATCCATATTGTAGCAGGTATCAGTACTTCATTCCTTTTCATGGATGAATAGTGTTCCATTGTGTGGATGTGACACATTTTGTTTATCCATTCATCAGTTGATGGGTATTGGGTCGTTTCTCCTTTTTGGTTATTATGAATAATGCTGCTACGATCATTCGTGTAGAAGGTTTTATGTGGACATATGCATTCGTGTCTCTTAGGTATATGCCACATAACTGATCTTTTAATAGTAAATATCTGATCACATCACTTCTTTGCCTAAAAACCCTCAGTAGCTTCCCATTGTTGTTGAAATCAGGTTCACAATCCTTGCCTTGGTCCACAAGGCTCACAGCTTCTGGGCTTTTGCCAGCACCACTCTCCCCTGGTTCTGTTCCAGCCAACAGGCAAGAGGTTCCTTCAGGCTCAAAACCTCCTTCCTGGGCTCAAACGTTGAACTTCTCTCCTCCCAGCCACCCCACCCCAGTCTTTTGATGCTCTACCCCCTGCTCATCCTGAGGTCTCGGCTGACAGGGCCCCTCGTCCGGGAAGCATGCTGCAACGCCTGAGGCTAGGTCAGGTGCACCTGCCACACCCTCTCATGGGACTCCACACGTCTCCCTCCCAGCACTTATCACAGCTACAATCCATGATGACTAGTGGGATCATCTGCTTAATGTTTCTCTCTTCTGCTACCACAAGCTCCGGGAGAGCAGGGCCTTCCTTGTTCCCCAGGCTCCGCAGCACCTAGCGCAGTGCCTGGTGCACGTGGGCACTCGGTAAATAGTCACCAAATGAATAATGGCAATGATGGCAATAAACAAGCCACTTGTTCAGAGGATTCCTTTGGTCTCTGCGTCTCCTTTGGGTGATAGGGAAACCCAAGTGGCCACTGAGGCCAGGATGACTCCTGTGTCCATCCCAGCCACATTGGCCCCTGTCACTCACCTGAGGGACCACTGCTTCTATAGGAACGGGTTTGGGGGAGTCCCCCACAATTTTGAAATAGAGGCTTGTTTGGTCCCAGCTGACACTTGAGCTCCCTCTCAGGACAGTGTGATTCCCACAGTGTGTGGCTCAGGGCATCCCTCGACACTATCGACTACATCAGCAGTAGGAGCAGGCCATTTCCAAGGGCGACATGAGGAGGGACTCTGAGGCAATTGCTTCCCTGAGAGTTGGGGAGCTGCGTCATGACAGACCACGTTCCCTTTAGTAAGGATTATTGGCTTTCTGCGTGTCTCATGTGAAAAACTGTCCTTGAAGAAATTCCAAGAGGAAACTGTACACCTTCTGAGACTTAATTGCTTTTTCAAAAAACACTGTTTTCATTTCCCCCACAGATATGCACTTATTTGGCCATTATCCAGCACATGACGACTTCTATCTCGTAGTGTGCAGTGCCTGTAATCAGGTCGTCAAGCCACAGGTTTTCCAGTCGCACTGCGGTAAGTGGACTCCTGCACCCAGTGGACGCATTTGCAGCCGCTGCTCCGGGGACACTCGCCTCCCCCTTGGCTCCCTGATGGGGCCCGGCCCTGTGTCTGTCTCAGCCCAAGGCTGTGGGTACACTCTTCTTGGGGCTGCTGCCTCTGCTCGCAGGGTCACTATTTCAGGAGCTGTAGTTTTTGTGCTGAAATGCTCAGACCTGTCAGAACAAATATGAGAAAACCTGGAACTTGTTTCAGTAGATGGGACTAGACAGAAACCATCCACCCAAACTGGCGGTGGCCTCTGCAGGTGACCAAGGGGAGGGCAGAGCAGTGGCTTGAGGAATCACTCCTGCATCCTGATACTTCTCCCCCTTAAAGAGGTCTCCATGGATTTACACAAAATGGGGCTGGAGCCAAGAGCAGCCCAGTGCGTGGGCCACTGGGACGCTGCCCCAAGCAAAGGGTGTGTAGGTAAAACCTCAGGTTCTACTTCCTTTTCCAAGACTCCCCTTTGTTAAAAACTCCAGGTGTGTTTGGAAACTCACTTTCCCTCTGTGCTTTAACATCCTTGGTGGAATAAATTCCTTCAGTTGGTCAATAGCAAACCCTGGACTCCCATTCAGTGCAGATGCTGTGGACATAACAGATAAAGTTCACTTGGCCACTCCCCTCAGGGGTGAATAAACAGCCATTTGACTTCGGACAGGAAGTCACTTAACCTCTCTGGGTGGAAGTTTCCTAATGTTTAGCAGGGGGTTGGACCAGATGATTTCCAAAGCTATACTGTGCTGTGAGTCCAGAGCAGTGTTTCCCAGTCTTTTTATTTAAGCCATACCCCTTTTGATGAATGTAAAATCTGGATGCCATCCTTTATTGTTAAAGTTTCAAAGCACATTCAATATTGTGCCTTAAAAAATCAAAACAATTTTATAATATTGAATGTGCTTTTGCAAATTACACACATTTTTCTCCTTTCTCACATTCCGTATTTCTGACTTTCCCCCACCCCTTCGGTTACCGCTATTCTGTGATAAATAGGCATAAAATAAGGGAGTTGAGCTTATCCAAGCTCCTCAGTAAATGTGTTTGGGACTATAGAATAGTTTGTGTGTATACTAGTATCATCTATGAATATGTGTGTGTGTATATGTATATGATATTCATATCTACATATATATATATAAAACCTGTATCTTTGTATATGCTGTAAGTATATTTTGTGCTCATAATATGTAGAAAGAGAATCCAGGCTTAAGGGGGTACTTTGTGAGTTAGTCTAAGACTTTCTGACTGGCACAGGCAGAGAAAGGGCCCTAGAAAGTGCTAATGGTGAGGGGCCAAGTCCAGCTCTGTGTCCATGGGCTACCTGCTTCACGTCTCAGGGCTTTGGTTTCCTTGTCCCTTTCATGGGGAGGTGACTTCTGTGGGCACATACAGCTCGGTAACATTTTTATTTCTGGCAGAGTGAGCATGAAAGAATCAAGTCGTGTGCTCTGCACAAGTCGACCTTCTTGCTCAGTGCGCTGGAGCATGTGACTCTCTCTTCCACCTAGAAGAGAGAAAAGGTCAAACTTCTCCAGAGGGAAACTGTCAGAGGCCTGGCAGTGGGGCTACCAGCTGAGGTGACAGGTGGGAAATCTGAAGCAGAGCAATGGCAAGAAGGTCGCAACCAGGCAGTCATTCAGGGAATGGCCTGCTCTGTGACCGTTTGATTCTGTGTGTTTCATGAGCATGCAGATGCTAACTCCTCCCCGATGTGGTCATCATTCATTCATTCACAGGGACGTGCTGCTATTCTAGGCACTGGGATCTAGCAATGAACAAAACAGATAAAAATCCTGGCTTTTGTGGGTTTACAATCTTTTGTAAGCCACCAGAACCTTCACTGACAGTCTTTGATGGAAGGATCCTGAAAGAGACCTGGGATGCAGGACTCCACTTGCTCTGCAGAATTCCAGGGCTTGGTGTAGCAGATACATGTGCCTCCCTCTACTGTAGGCTTTTGATGCAAGAGTCAAGTCTCAGTTTAGGGGAGAGCCAATGGCTTTGTGGCCACCTGCTCTGAGCAGTGGCAGTAAATTAGTTTGGAGTTTTGGGGTTACTGACCCCATCCCTTGAAGCCCAGTCTAATGGGGAAACAACTATGGCTCAGCAGATTTAGGCATTGAAGCATTCCTTATCTCTCAGGTGTGTCCCAATGGTACAAAACCTTGTGTATCCAGGCCAGCAGAGAATGCAAGGCACAGCTCAGAACCACAGCAGCTCTTCAGGGAGAGTGAGAATTTCTTCGTTTCCCTGAGAATTCCTCCTTCAATTTCATGATTGTCTTAGTTCGGGCTGCTACAGCAGAATACCGTAGACTGGGTGGCTTATAATCAACAAATTTATTCATCACAGTTCTGGAAGTTTGAGATCAGGGTGCCAGCGTGGTCAGGTTTTGGTGAGGGCTGTTTTTCAGGTTGCAGACTCCTATCTTCTCCTTATATTCTCACAAGGTAAAAAGAGGGCTAGAGAACTTTCTGGAGTCCCTCTTATGAGGGCACTAATCCCATTCATGAGGGCTCCACCCTCATGACCTAAATCACCTCCAAAGGCCCCACCTCGTAACACCATCACAGTGCGGGTTAGGATTTCAACATATGAATTGGGGGATGTGGAAACATACACAAAGATTCAGCCCATAATAGTATTTCTTTTCTTGTTGTTTTACCTTATATGACTAGCCTGGCTATTTTCAATACGTTAAAAAAATGCTGTGTGCCAAGTTCCAGGCACTGTCTTTGAGCGGGTAGTCCTCTCGACAGCCCCAAAGTAGGTGCTAATATCATACCCATTTGAAGCCGAGGAAGCTAAGGCTCAGGAGGTGCAGTGCCTTGCCCGAGATCTCAAAGCTAGGCAGGTATAGAGGCTGATCCAGAGTGAGGGACATGCATGCTTAGCTATTGTCCTTCCCTGCCTTTCTACATGAATTACATGACCCTTCCTGCCCTTCCCAGACTCCAAGGCTCAACCCATTCACTTGCCAGGAAGCACATCATAGTACAGGGGTTCGAACTTGCTTTGGTTAGCAGTAGCACTTTTTCCCAAATGGAATCTCGTATGCAACCCCAATCTGTAACTATATGTGGAAAGCAGAGCCATTGGGATTGAATTGGAGTGGGGTCTCAAGACTCACCTGCCTGGCCTTTTCCTGACTTTCTCCCACCCCCCCACCTCCAGCCAGGCCTCCATAGAACATCATTTGAAGTTTGTTGATGTAGTGGAGAGAACATGAGACAAAGTGATTCACATGACTGCCCCACTAACCATGTGACCTTGGGCAGGTCACCTCATCTCTCCCTACCTCAATTTTCTTGTCTGTTAAATGGGTGTGCTGCCTGCCTTGTGGGGTTGTTGGGATGAAATGACTGGTGTGAAGATCAGGGTTTGTTTTCTCCTCCCCTTCTCCCCATGGCGTCT